AGGAGAGCAGAAGAGCAGCAGAGGAGGACACACATGGGGCAGGTGAGAGAGGAGAGCAGGAGGGGAAAAGAAGGGATACAACCCAGAGAGGAGAGGAAGAGGAGAGAGGATGCAGGAAAGACCAAGGAGCAGAAGAGAAAAAGAAGATAAAGGAAATAAAGAAGAGGAGGGGAAGAGATGATAGGAAGGTGAGAAGATAAGAAAGAAGAGCAGCAGAGGAGGATGTGTAAGTGAAGGAGGGGAACAGAAAAGGAAAAGAAAGGAAATGAGCCAGAAAGAGGAGAAGAGAAGAGAGAAGACAGAAGAGGAGGAGGAGAGCAGCGCAGAAAGACGTGTGGGGCAGGTGAAGGAGAAGAGCAGGAGGGGAAAAGAAAGGATGCAGGAATGAGAGAAGAGGAGCAGAATGGAAGATGAGGAGAGAAAAGTAAAACAGAAGAGGAGGAGAGCTGAGAGGAGTGTAAGGAGAAACAGATAGAAGAGCTAAAGAGCAGCAGAAGAGGACAGAATTTGGGCAGATGAAGGAGGAGAAGAGCAGAGGGAGAAAAATAACGTAAATAAGAAAGAAGAGCAGAAGAGGAGAAAAGAGAATGCAGGAAAGAAAGGAGGAGAGTGGAAGAGGAGGAGAGCTGAGAGGAAGATGAGGAGATACAGAGAGAGAGGAGAGCAGAAGAGCAGCAGAGGAGGACACACATGGGGCAGGTGAGGGAGGAGAGCAGGAGGGAAAAGAAGGGATACAACCCAGAGAGGAGAGGAAGAGGAGAGAATGCAGGAATGGCAGAAGAGGAGCAGAGTGGAAAGGAGACGCTCCAGGACAGACAAAGGAGAAAAAGAGAGGAAAAGGTTCAGAGGGAAAAGCAGAAGTGAAGGGGGAGGAAAGCAGAGGGCAGCACCTCCATGACGAACTGCCCTGAGTACGTCCCGGTCATGGTGGAGCTCTGCCCAGCTGCCAGGATCCCAATGGCCCAAATGTAGAGAGCAGCTGGGCCGAAGTAACAGCCCAGCACTGCGCCCTGCAACAGACAGACAGATGGACGCCACTGACACGTGGCCTTCCAGAACCCTTCCATCCCAACCACCCCATGGTTCTGTGACCTTCCAGGACCTTTCCATTCCAACCATCCTATGGCTCTATGATCTGCAAGGACCTTCCAAATCCAACCACCTCACGGTGCTGTGATCTTTCAGGCCCCTTCCAACCCAACCACCCCATCGTTCAATGACCTTTAAGGACACTTCCATCCCAACGATCCCACGGCTCTTCAATCTTTTAGCACCCATCCAACCCAACCACCCCACACTCCTGTGATCTTCAAAGAGCCTTGCAGCTATCAGAGCTGGGGCTGTGCTATCAGAGCTGGGGGCTGTTATCAGAACTGGGGGCTGTGCTATCAGAGCTGGGGGCTGTGCTATCAGAGCTGGGGGCTGTTATCAGCAGCACAGCCTGTTATCAACAGTGCTATCAGAGCTCCTCACCCCTTTGTAGATGTCCACCTCCAGCGTGGTGTTGTCGCTCGGGAACAGCCCTGTGTGGGCACTGCTGGCGTTGGCACAAACCTCGTGCTGCAATGAGACTCCAAGCGCTGCTGGGGGGCATCGAGAACCCCGCTCTGTCCTCCCAGCTCAGCCCAGTGCCTCCCTCCCCCCCTACCAAATCCCCTCCCCCGGCCCCCAACTCACCACATCCATGTTGGTTTTCCCATAGAAAGCCTCGGCGAAGACGGAGACAACGAAGACGTTGATGATGAAGGAGACGAAGAGCGCAATGCACGACTCAGCAAAGAAGTATTTGTTGGCCTCACGCACCTCCCGTGGGTTGGAGCGATTCACCTGGCGGGACTGCAAGGGGGGGGCGACGGGAATGCACCCATGGGTGCACAGAGGTGGAGAGTGCAGGGCGTGGGGGTGCAGGGTCAGGGGGTGCAGGGTGAGGGTGCACAATGAGGGTGCAAAGTGGGGGACGCACAGAGTGTGAGTTGCACACGGGGGGTAGTGGGGGTGCAAAGTTTGGGGGTGCTGTGTGAGGGTGCAAAGTGGGGGACGCACAGTGTGAGTGCACACGGGGGGGTGCATCGTGGTGGCGCACAGAGTGGGGGGTGCAAAGTGTGGGGGGCACAAAGAGGGGCGCACGGTGGGTGCTGTGTGAGGGTGCAAAGTGGGGCAGGGCACAGGGTGGAGGTGCACAGAAGGGTGTTGCAAGTGTGAGGGGGCACAGAGAGGGTTTGCATGGAATGAGGGTGTGCAGAGGGGGGGTGCAAAGTGTGGGGGTGCGCAGGGAGGGGGTGCAGAATGAGGGTGCACAGAGTGAGCTGTGAGGGTGCAAAGTGTGAGGGTGCCAAGTGTAGGGGGGGCACAGAGAGGGTGTGCACAGAGTGGGGGTGCACAATGAAGGTGCACAGAGGGGGGTGCAAAGTGTCGGG